CCTCACAATATCTTTAACAGTTTGTAGCTACAATCAAATTCCAAATTTGTTCTTTTAAACATATCAAATCTAAGGATATATCATATTAAAATTTTCTCAGACAAGCTCTACTCTTTTTCTAATCAGTAGCATCTTCATAATAAACTACAAACATTAACAGGTCAATACCATAACTCTAGCATAAACACACAGTTTGTGAAATCACAATTCTCTTAAATCCATTCTAATCAAAAGACAAAGTTTCTGTGATGGGTGAACTATGAGTCCTTTTCTGTCCTACAGCTCCTATTGTGCCCTGTTTATACTCTTAGGGGATTTTCCTGAGAGTCTCCACAGGGACATCCCCTAAAGACCCTACCACTCCCAATTAGCATCACTGTAAGGAAGAGGCCTTTATGTTGTCAAAGTCTGAGTGATACTCCTGGACATCCCACTGCTGCCCTGTGCTGTGGAGATCCTGCAGCTTTGGGTCTATGGGTCAAGTCCCCACACTGTGCTCCAGCAGATCATGGATGCTGGAACAGGCCAGGCATAACTCCGAGTCGGGGCCTGGGCAGCTGCAGGATGGGCCCACCAGATGGGAAACGGGACATTCTCCCATAGTAACAATTTCGGTGTTGACTCTCCTACACCTGCCCTAACAGTGTTGGTTCAATTGTGCGGCCCTGGCAAGGTGCAGGGGATGCTCTCCTGAGTGCTGCAGCTGGTGGGGGTCAGGACAGGTCTCCTGCTCTTGTGATCACAGGTCAGCTCTTCCACCTGCCCCAGGCATTGATGGGAGGAGGAGGGATTCTCTCCTCAGCTGATGCTGCTATGTGGCAAATGAGGGGTAGGACTAGGTGTCCCATGCTCAGGTCCTCAGGGTGGGCTCACCTGTGCTCTCCCCAAAAGGGTCACCTCTGCTGCACTGCCCAGACAAAGTGCAGGGCTCACTTTCCAGTGTGTTGCTGCTGGTCAAGGGGTCAGCTACCTCACAATCTCAGCCTGATCTCTTCCTCCTCTCTTCATATAGGCTTCTGTCCACAGGACCTGAATATCTCTCTCTCTCTCTCTCTCTCTCTCTCTCTCTCTCTCTCTCTCTCTCTCTCTCTCTCTCTCTCTCCTCTCTCCTCTCTCCTCTCTCCTCTCTCCTTTCTGTCACAGACACACACATACACACACTCAAGACACCATACCATACCTCTGCTCACTCACACAGTGGCCTTCTGGCTGCTGCTGGATGGGTCTGGGAGTGGCCCATGTTTTCTCTTTAGACACCGGGGTGTTTTTAGTTTTTATCTTTAAAGCTGTAAATACATTAAATTTTCATAAAAGTATTTATCAATTTAAAGTCGAAGCCTGTTTTAAAAATCAGATATGCCTTACTATATTGCATTGTTTTTATCTAGTTTCAATCTTTGTGTTTTCAATATTTTCCCAGCATGTGTCAAATGCACATTATTTTCCCAGTTTTTTCTTCAACTTTTCTGTCAGCCTCAGAGTCACAGTGAGCTTCAGTGCCCACTGGTAATCTTTTTGCCAGCGTTTTCTGAAACTGTAGGACAAGAGTTTTGTTGTATCTTATCTTTCTTCTTTTACTGAAGAGCCTCGACTAGGTTTTGCTTTCCTATCAGCAGTAAATGAACCTAGGACCTCATGCATCCCATTCGGCTATTGAGCTACATCCTGATAGGAGTAGAACGATCAGGACACAACAGAATATACAGATGTTTCCTTGCTCTGGAAGCCAAGCAGAGCAATAGGTTGCAGAAAATGCCCCGTTCAACTGAACGGGGGTTAATGCCAAACACAATGCTTTTTTCCAGGCCTGAGAATCGACGGATGCTGTCAAACATATCAGGAGGATAGACAAAAGCATCATCCATCTGAGACACTCTCCTCTTCCTCATTTCTTTCAGGAACCGATCTTTATATATATTTGTTTCCTCTTCCGTGCTGAAAAGCACAGCGATATCGTGGGGAGAGTAGCCACTCCTCAAGAAAGAATTGCACTTATTTGCTACATAGTTCACAATCTCTCTCAAGTTCAAGTGTCTGAGCTCAAAGCTGCCAGGTACACCATGAGTCCAGGTAAATTCATTGAGCATCTCCAGGGACTCAGGAGGGATCCTGCATGGAGGGTTATCTCTGATTTCCTCTAACTTCTTCTGAAAGAACTCAGCTATTTTATCTGCATTGCGTACCACTCTTGTGAGCTCTTCCTTTGGATATTGGCGTGAGAAACTTGGGAGGCCACTCTGTTGCATGTGGCTGGTCTGAAAATAGTCTAGAAAGATCCAGAGAATTCCGGGACAATCTTTCTCTCTCTGAGTGATGAGCTTTGCCTTCTTATACCAGTCCCCATCTTCAGTGCGGAAATTCTGGGCTTCGTCAACAATGATGTGTTGGATCATGTCTGTCTCAAACTCCATGAAAGTTTTCCGGGTCACTGCCTGGCAAATATTTTTTGCCCTGTAACAGTGAAAAGGACATTAGGTGTTTCTCTAACAGCATCAATGCCCTGTGACACAGCACTGCTGTTATAGGTCTTTGTACTGTCTAATTCCCAAGAATCAGGGTCACTTAAGAGAAATATTCAAGGCCGGGCGGTGGTGGCACACGCCTTTAATCCCAGCACTCTGGAGGCAAAGGCAGGCGGATCTCTGTGAGTTTGAGGCCAGCCTGGTCTAGAGAAGAGCTAGTTCCAGGACAGGAACCAAAAAGCTACGGAGAAATCCTGTCTCGGGAAAAAAAAGAAATTTTCAAGACCAGACTGATAATACACAGATGTAAGATCCAACACTTACCTGATAAAGTCCCTCAAGCGTCGATTTTCACAGATGTAGAGAATTCTATCTGTTCCACAGTGAAATGTGTTTCTGATCTTTTCCATGATCTTGATGGCCATGACTGTCTTGCCCGACCCTGGTAAGCCATGCACAAACAGTTCCTTGTTTTTGCGGAGATTTTTTGAGAATATCTCATACTGTTGGGCTGTGAGAAGATTCAAAATTTCACAGCCAAGCTGGTCACTCAAGAAAGATCTGAAGTTGAGCAAGACAATCACAAGCGCCTGCAGCAAGGCTTCCATTTCCTGGGTGTTTGCAAGGTTATAGGAACGTGGGTAATCTATAGGAGAGGGTGACCTCTCACTGGTCTCTTCATTGCTCTTGGATTCCAGGCAGAGAACCTTGGTCATGACGCACACCCTCCCAGGGTAGCCACCAGTGTTCACTAGCTTCTGCTTGAGAGTAAAGGCAGTGTGGGTACAGTAGTCCTGTGCCCCCTCATCCTGCTGCCCAAGGATGGTGTAGAGGGTGGGAGGGCTATCCTCTGCAATCAGTAGAGCATCGCAGATGACTCCCTGCCTCTCTTCCAAGTTCAGGTCCACAGCCCAGCTTCTCGAGAGGATCAGCAGACCACAGGGGACAGAGCACATTTGCTGGCTTAATAAGTCCTCCAGTCCCTCATTCTGTGAGCACAGCTCCTGCCAGAGGGATTCAGGAGTATATTTCAAACATCCTGGTGACACTGGACATGGGAAGAATAAACAAGATTTCAAGTAAGTGTTTGTATATTCTTCTATGACTCATATATTATGTTTTTTCCATATATTATGTTTAAAACAGAGAATTAAGTAGATTACCAACACAAAATAAACTCAATGGTATTTCTTGAAATTTTTTCCCCTCATATGCTTTGTCTGGGTACATTTCTTACCTTACAGGTCTTCTGCTCATTTATTATGCTTTCTGATTTTGTGTTCTTATAGTTTGTGTGTGTGTGTGTTTCTTGTTCTTTTTCTTTGGTTCTTATTTTCTGTGTTTTTTTTTTCCCTATTCTGCTTTGTTTGTTTCAGTTGCCTATTTGTTTACAATGGGAGAGAGGGGAAAGAATGTGGATTTTAGGATGGGGAGGTGTTGAGGAGCTGGGAGGAGCAAGGGGAGGAATATATTGTATGAAAAATTCTGTTTCAACAAAAATTAAAGTTATAAAACATTTTCAAATCCAAAGAGAACTAAGCTCCTATGTGCAATACAGCTTAAGGGAAATTCCGTCTGTCTACATCCCCTGCAACTCATATTCCACCAAGCTGATGGAATGATGTGGTCCTCCCACTATCTTACAGAAAATTCAGTGCCAACCAAAGTGGAAGCTACTGAGCCCAAGATTGTGCAGAAAAGAAATCTGTGCAATTATTGTTACATTAGATTCTTCTACTATGGCTGTACTGGTTCAGTGAGTTCTGAACCCTTGAGAAGCTGACTCAAATGCATATGCTCAAGCCCTAGAAATGCTGTTTAAATTCCTGGTGGGGACCATAATCTCTGCATATTTAGCTATCAGAGTTTGCTAATACCATGCTCGATGACTTCATGGTACCTGCACCTCATTCCCAAGAGGTCTGTAGTGCTGTTACATCATAAACTTGGTGCTGCACAAGGCATTCTCTTTGATTTCTTTTTTAGCAAAGGTGTTAAACGATTTGTCTCTTCCTCCTAATGGAAAAACTAGCTGTTCATACCTGGAAATAAACGCTTTTGGAGGTCGACTTTATGCTCCAGTCCTTTCTTAGAATACACTGGTCTGCAGCGTGGAGGGCTGTTGGAGAGACTCAGCTGACACTCAAAATCTTCACACAGGTTACCCAGGGAAGACGACTGGTTGGAAGCTGTCTCTGTGTGACACAGTGAATGAAACCCATCAGAATAACAAAGCACAGGCTCTATTCCAAAGGGGAAGAATTGGAAGAAGAATAGAACCACACAGAAAGGAAGCTGAAGCTTGATCCAGAAGGTTATATAAACAACCCTGGTGAAGAGACCACTAGTCCCAACTACATGTCAGAATCAGAATCCTCAAAAGCTACAAGTGCAATTGAAGGTTCTGGGGAGGCAGTGACTCCTCTGACATCGCGGGTAAACAGTGGAGAGGAGGCCCACTTTGTCACTTCACTGGGTGTCAACTGGGTCGAGAACCCACTGGTTAGTACTGAGCTATGCTGGGGTCCTGATAACAAAAAACAATTTCAGATAAGTGATTCTGGTGCTGGCCTGCCACAGTTCCGGGGTAGGAGACAGCTGTGGAAGGTAAGCATGGGGCAAGGAAGGCCTGGGCGCTGACATGACAAAAAGTTCAGGTAGTAGGAGGCTGGACTCAGAAAAGGAAGCCTGGGACTGGAGGGATGGCTCAGAGGTCAAGAGCACAAGCTGGGAGGCAGAGGCAGGCAGATCTTTGTGAGTTTGATGTCAGCCTGGTTTACAGAGCTAGTTCCTGGACAGCCAGGGCTGATGCACAGAGAAACCCTGTCTCGAAAAAGAAAAAAAAAAGAAATAATAATCTCTTGTTTCTCATTACCCAAATTAAATACAACTATAAACCTCCAGAGAAAATCTATAAAACTTTATAAACACATGGGGATTAAACAATAAATACCAGCATGTCATTGATGAAACCAGTGTAATGGTCTGCTCTGTCCCTTTAAGAGACAAGCCATGCCCACTCACTCCCCATACCCCCATTTGCCAATGCAAGCTGATCTTCAGCTTCCAGCCTGAGTTATTTCCTCTCTTTCTCTCTCTCTCGCTCTCTCTCTCTCTCTCTCTCTTCTACTTCTCCCCTTTCCCCCTCCTGTTTTTTTCTCTCTGCTCTTCCCCCCTTCTCCCTTTTCCCCTTCATAACCCACTAAACAAATATCCAATCTTACCCTGCATTGCGTGCCTATCCATGTCTCTGTCTTTCAGCTGCTACATGGCTCCCTGCCAGGGACCAGCTGCCTTTTGAGACCTGTGGCATGGTCTCATGGTGTGCCCACCCATCTGTATCTCCACATGGGACTTGCTGACTCTCATGGCCCACTGCAGCCACTTGGGGAACAGCATTGTCCCTGCCTGGGACTGGTTGCTCTTGGGACCCACTGCCCACTAAAGCTGTTTTTGGACCTGCAGCCTCTGCTGCCACTTGGGGATCCACAGCTAAAAGTTCTGCCTCCAAAATCGAGGGCTCACTCTCATTCAAGGCAAGCGTACAAATAGAAAAGAAGTCAGTCATCCCCATTTGCAGATGATCTGACCTTAAACATAAAGACCTTCAAGACTACCAGTGAGCTCTTATATTTGATAACTTTCAGCAAGGTAGCAGGATATAAAAACATACAGAAAAACCCAGCAGCTTTTCTGTATACCAGTAACAAACTTGCCGAGAAACAGATCTGGAAAATCTCATTAACGACTGCATCAGAAAAATCCCTGGGAAAGTACCTAACCAAGGAGGCAAGAGTCCTCTACGATGAAAACTTTCAAACACTGAGGCAGAAACTGGAAGAAAAAGCCTCCTATGGAAATAGCGGTCACTAAACTTGGTCTAATGAGTCAATACAAGTCCTACCAAATTCCAATTATGCTTTTCACAGAACTAAGAATAAAAATCCTGAAATTCATATAGAAGCACAAAAGACTGGCTAGCCAAAGAAGACTTAGCAAAAAAGAGCAATTAGGTCCAAACAAAATGTGCCACATCTGGTGCGGGTTCCTGACTCGCAGAATTGGTAACATGCTAAACTTTGGTACCAGGTGATCATTGTTATGAGGTTCCAGCAAATGACAGTGAAAGGAGTTTAAATAACATGTGTGTAAATACGATCTCCCTTTTTTATGGTGCTGGTGAGATGGCTCAGTGGGTAAAGGTACTGTGGTGGTTTAAAGAAAATGGACCCAAAGGGAGCGGCACTTCTAGGAAGTGTGGCCTTGTTGGAGGAGGTGTAATCTTGATGGGGGAAGTGTGTCACTGTGGAGGCAGGCTTTGAGGTCTCATATATGCTCAAGATACCACCCAGTCTCTCAGATCACTTCCTGTTGCCTGCAAGATGTGGGACTCTCAGTTATTTCTCCAGCACAATGTCTGCCTACATGTTGCTATGTCCCACTATGATGATAATGGACTGAATCCCTGAAACTGTAAGTGAGTCACCACAATTAAATGTTTTCTTTTATAAGAGTTGTCATGGTCCAAGGATTATCTATTGCATTCCGGATGTGTTGATCTCTGGGATTTCCCCAAATGTGGGACACTGGACTGCATAATTTGTGGTAGTGGGGACCACACTCGCACTTTCTTCTAAATAAAAAATTATTAATAAAAAACAACAATAGAAACCCTAACTAAACCCTAACTAAACAGGTGCCTGCCTCCAGGCCTGATGACCTGAGTTTGCTCTGGCACACACTTGGTGGAAGGAGAAGTGACTCATGTTGGTCTCTGACCTCCATGTGTGAACTGTGGCATTTGCATGTGTGTGCCAAAAAAGAAGTCCATATTTAGCCGGGTGGTGGTGGCACACATCTTTAATCCCAGCACTCGGGAGGCAACAGCCTGGTCTACAAAGTGAGGTCTAGGATAGCCAGGACTATTAGACAAAGAAACCCCGCCTCAAAAACAAACATAAGCACAAAAGAAATCCATATCTATTTTAAAAAGATTTATTTATTTACTATATATACAGTGTTCTGCCTACATGTATGCATGCATGTCAGAAGAGGGGCACCAGGTCTCATTACAGATGATTGTAAGCCATCATGTAGTTGCTGAGAATTGAACGAAGGCCCTGTAAAAGAGCAGCCATGCTCTTAACCTCTGAGCCATCTCTCCAGACCTACAAATTTCTCGCATCTGAAAAAGCATAAAGATTCAACTTCAGTAGGTATAATGAACTCAGATTTTAGGAGTGTGACGGAACTCAAAAGAGGCAGAAAGCACAGAGAAGGAAGAACTCTCCCCTCTTACCTGGATCAGCAGCCATCATCATGCCTACCCATTCCTTAGTAGTCAGTCTGCGGATGACATCATTCTTGTCATCATTCTTGTCATTATTCTCCTTGTCTACCATCCATGAAATGGGAGCTTTTGAGAACACTGCACAGCAGAAAGCCTCCACTTTGATCGCACAGAGATAACCATGCAAATTCCCCTTGTGAAACACATCTATGACTCTGGTCTTGTGAGAAACCATTTTTTTTAGATGAACAAAAATGGAAAACTGGCAACTTAGATATTGCTTCGTTTGTCACTCTTTCCAAAGAGTCACGGGTAACATTTTCTTTTGGGCATCCCAGGACCTTCCTACTCTTGTCCTCCACACCAATGAAAAGGTAGCCTCCGCTGGTGTTTGCAAATGCAGAGACATACTCTGGAATTATATTTTTAATGTAATCTAGGGCTTTTTTTGTATCGAATTGTTTAAACTCTACTTGTATAGATTCAGGAAAAAGCAAGATTTGACCATATTCGAGTTTCTCACTTTGGAAAATATCAACAGCAGGATCTGATTCAAGGCTGTTCTGATGCATAACTCTGGAAGTTTTAACAGGTGGAGCTCCTCCATCAATCAGGCCACATCCAACATTCTTCTTACTTTTTAGATATACAAATGCATCTGTCGAACTCATGGGAATCACTGATGTTCCAGATCAACAGTACAAGGAAGAGTTTTGGCTGCAAATGTGAAATTTAGAAGAACTGTTTTCAGGGCCACGGCTCCAAGATTTAACAAAAATGTAAAAATGGTTCCCTCGTTGTCGGGTCTCAAAGAAAGCCTGCCAATCAGAAGACTGGATAAGCTCTCTCAAAGACTGTTCCAAATCCAGTCCCATCTCCACGGGCTGCTCACTCTTGTTGGCCATTTGTATCTCAATCACTCCTCCTCCGGAGTTTAACAGAGCACAGACAGCCTCTGTAACTCTTGTCTTCTCCAGATTTCTCTTCTTCGAGTCCATTTTCTTTCGGTTTTCTTCCCCGAGAGTCACGTCTTTTATGTGGATGACCAAGTCTGGGTGAGACTTTACCATCTCAAAGGAGAGATTTCTTTCCATGTTGGTCCTGCAGTCAAACAATCCAAACACTTGTTTTACCTTTAGTAAGATTAATTCTCTCATGGACACAATTCATTCATCTACTTACTGAAAATATTAATCTAAGTCAAATATATCCCGTCAAAGCAGTAAAATATCAAGTAAGATTAAAAAACAGTCCTTTATCTTTAGAAATTGTTTTTGAGGGGCAATAAAAGTAGAACTTATTGGGGGCTGGAGAAACGGCTCAGTGATTAAGAGCACTAGCTACTCTTCCAGAGGTCCTGAGTTCAATTCTCAGCACCCACATGGTGGCTCATAACAATATGTAATAGGTTTGATAGCCTCTTCTGGTGTGTATACAAAGACAAGTCACTCATATATGTAAAATACATATTTAAAAAAACGTAGAACTTACCATCACATGAGATATGGGCTATGGGAGGAAAAACACATTAAAGAGGTATTTGAACTACTTTGGCTATTACTCTTTAGTTTAACAATGCTCCCAGGAGGAGCTAATGTCACCCACTCACTGGAACTGTCAGGGTGAAGGTATCAGCATTGAGGTACAGGAGCAGGAGAGATCACCTACCAGAAGGGTATGCCATGGCATGAGATTTCACAGCTTGGAAATTATTCCCAATGAATCATGGGATAAATAGAGACTATACTAGAAGGAGATGTCAAGAAGCTCATGAAAACCCGGAGAGGTGGGAGAAACCAATGGATTATGGCATCAGGGAATGGAGCACAAGGCCACCTGATGACTTTCCAGGTCTCTAAGCTACTGACAGGTGCTGCAAGTGAGACTGGAAAGTCTTATTGTAGGATTTAGTGAACTGCCAGGAGCTGGAGGTGCATGTCTTTAGTCCCAGCACTTGGGAGGCAGAGGCAGGAGGAGCTCTGAGTTCAAGGCCAGGCTGGTCTACACAGTGAGTTCCAGGACAGCCAAGGCTGCACAGAGAAGCCCTGTCTTTATCCTCCCCTGCAAAAACAGTTAATGAATGACACAGCGGCTGACTTTGAAGACTGCAGAAGCTGAGGTCTTAGAGATGAGCGCCAACAGACATGGCTTGGCCGGCAGCTCTATCCCATACTGTTGAGGATCATCCCTTTACACTATGTGAAGATGTGCACTATGATTGGTTTAATAAAGAGCTGAAGGGCCAATAGCTAGGCAGGAAGAGTTTAGGTGGAATATCTGGGGATAGAGAGGACCCAGGGAAGAAGAAAGGTTGAGTCACCAGCCAGATACAGAGGAAGCAGAACATGCAGGAGGAGAGGTAAAAGTCATGAACCACATGGCAACACACAGATGAATAGAAATGGGTTAAATTAAGTTGTAAGAGCTAGTTAGAAACAAGCAAAGGCCGAGCATTCATAATTAATAAGAATTCTCCATGTTGTTATTTGGGGGCTATCTTGTGGGACAGAGAAAGTCTCTTTACAGTATACTATTGTTTTATTTATATGGAGACTTAAAATGCCTAACCACGTGTGCTTGCTAACAGGGCAAGGATCTTTTACCTTGATATGGATTAAATAATTTGCCAATCACTTAACACTATGCTCAGGCTCACAGAAGTCCAGGAAGCAAAGCCATACTAATTGCCATTATGTCACATGGGCTGAGGAATGATTGCCAGCACAGTAATAGTGTTATCAAATGTAGACAATCATTAGATAAACTTACTAATGAAGAGAGGTGCAGATGTGGATGGAGGAAGAGAGGTTGAAGATTGGTTTTTCTTTAAGATGGGAAAGGCTTGACCATATTTACCATGGATGAGAGAAAGTCAGTAGGGAGCTGAGAACTTAAAGAAGGAGGAGGAGACTGAGTGACTGAAACAATAGGATCCTGAGAGTCAAGGTCTGGACAAGATCGTGGGTCAGAATCTGGAAGAAGGTAAAGAGGAGAAAAGAAAACCGTTGGC